TGTGTGTGCGCGCGCGCGTGTATGTGTGCGCGCGCGCGTGTGTGTGTGTGTGTGCGCGCGTGTGTGACTGTGTGTGTGCATGCGTGCGTGCGCGCGCGCGTGTGTGTATGTCTGTGTTGGTACGTTTATGCATGCATGCGTGCGTAGAGCGCGTGCGAGTGTTTGTGCGTGTCTGTGATGACACAGCTATAGACATAGATCTTATAAGCCTTAGTATTAGTAGACGTGTTCATAAAAAATAAAAACGCAAAACTAGCTTCGGCGAAGAAGGTTGAACTGTTATTAGTAATCGGTACACATTTCTGTTTCTCTATACGTTTTTTACAAGCCTTACCTATGCAATATGAGTAATTCGATGCCATATAATTTTCACTGAATGAATCTGTAGAAAGAACATCTAATACACGCGCAGGTTCGACAGCACACACATAGTCTTTGAGATTCACGCGGAAACTACGGGATGGGTTGGTTTCGGCATCTCTCCTACAGGCGGGATGAAAGGTAGTGACATCATGACCGGCTGGGTAAAGAATGGCAACGTCTACCTTCAGGTAAATGCGAAACATAATTGCGCATGCGTGTGAGCGCCCGTGTTAACGTGCCCGTGTCTCTTTCTGTGGGCATAAGATTCATTGGAGGATTAGATTGAGGCGGTTGTAACGGTTTCGTTTCTGGAAGACAGGGACAATCACCGACGCAAGTACGACTAGTGGTAGTGCTATTTCTAGTGTTAGGGTTGGCGGATAATACAAAAGTTAGAGTTAGAGCGAATGATAGACCTATGGTTAAGGTTACCTAACCTACTCTAACCTATGGTTAGAGCATGGCTATAGGCATCACGTCATTCGATGGCAATGCAGATGTTAGGTCCCATCTCGCTCATCATAGAGGAAATAAACCACGCGTATTATATGTAGTAGGATACACGTAGACAGCTGTATAGATTAACTGCTCATCATTGTAAATTGTAGGATCGCAAGGCGTTTGATTACGTGCAACCATCGATAGACGCGAGTCAAGATTGGACATTGATATCTGGACAAGAAGTGAACGGTGTCACTATGCTGAAAGTCCGACGCGCCCTTGACACATGCGACGATGACGACGATAGCATCATTACGGTAGTCAGTTTACTAAGTATAAGCTAGCTAAATTATCTATTAAATTTATTTTGTGACTTCAAATCCAGAAGCGGAATTAGTTATCCATATTTTAATAATATCATTGACGTCATGAGTATCATCTGCCGACAGGATGGCACCATACGCGTGATCTGGGCGCTAAACCAAAATGATCCGTCAGCACCAGAGACTCTCATGTATCACGGAGCCACCAACAGGGGGCGCCGGAGTCTCCACTTGCTGTCTTACTACGTGGAATCGACGATTCCTCCAGATGCAGGCGCCTTTGACGTGACGATGGACAATGTAAGCGTTGTCCGTGTTACACAGAGTTACTTGATAACCGCTATACGAGTTCAACATAAAGCTGATTGTAACTTAACTTAATGCTAACAACGGGTGTGAAACTGATTTTGGAATAGGCCAATGTCGTTTATCAGCGTACTAATAACGTCGCAATCAGCCACATGGTCCCTTCAACGTCATCACAACGTCATCCGAACAGCACAACGTCATCAGCCACATGGCCCCTTACACTAAGGCGCCGCTGCGTAGGGCTGTAGACCTGAAGCTACTCATAAAACTGATTACCAGAATTGTACACGCCAGAAGTGAGCCAGCGTGAACGTCAATATATGAAGTTTACACTAGCCTATGTTTATTTCATGAGCCTTTTTTTGTTTGTGTGTTTTTTGTGTGTGTGTACGTACGCGTGTTTGTTCGTACGCGCGTGCCTGCGTGCGCACGGATGTGTCCTGTGCGTAAGTGGATATGGGTGTGCGTGCGCACGCGCAGACATGCGGGAATATGCGCAAATGTATAATTTATTATCTTTGCAGGTTCAGATTGAAAGCACTGACACAACCTACGCGTGCAAGTATATAAAATCGCCACCCCTCCAGACTAAGCACCATCTTGTTAGGGTGAGGGCGCTTGTTTGCGATATACACTTCTCGTGCGTACAACCGCAGGGTAGTGATGTGAATCATGTGATGTATAGTATTATGAAATAAAAGAAATGTAAAGTAAAATAATATGAAAAGAATCAGGATTGTATAATATAGACTATTTTTTCTATAACATACACTCAAGAGAGTTTGCTATAACGTGTCTTCTGCATACCTAGATGGAGGCTATAATCACACCAGACAACGAGGGAATTGTTCATCACATGCTTCTCTACGAATGTCCGCGATTCACGAATGAAGAAGTGAACGAAGTGGACGGCTATACGTTCAACTGTGGAGAGAACGCGGCAGAGAAGATGCCCTGCAAGCAGATCGTTGTCGGCTGGGTTATAGGTGGCGAGGTACTGATCTCATTGCTTCAACGCAACGTCTAATTAACCCATTAGCTACACAATAAACAAAACGACGTTTAACCCCACGGGCAGAATTTTTTTAGCAAAAAATAACGAAAAACCCTTTTCCTTTTAATTGTTCTAATGCGCACGGCAAAAATTGTGTAAATGATTACGAAAGCTACGAAGCGGAGCGACAATGCACGCGTCTGCGTAAAGATCAACGCTTAATTGCGAACACTCTAATTCAAACGTAAACCTCAATGAAAAATACGAAAAATATTATCGTCATGCGAACACCTTAACTCCCACATTGTACGTTCTATCTTTGCACTAGGTGTACGATTTTCCTAGTAAGGTTGGCTACCCGATCGGCGAACCTAACGGTGCAAACGTATATATTTTGGAGGTGCATTATGACAACCCAACTCTACTAAGAGGTACGCCACATGTAATTTTCCTTGATCCATTTACGGCTGCCTTAGTGGTCGCCATATAGGAGCTACAGTTCTTTAATACTGTTAATTTTATGTCCGTTTACATCGTTTTCTAAATATTTAAATAACTAGTCAAATAACCAACTGCCCTTTCCTCATTCGTTATCATAACGATTCTCACCACTACCACCCATTTAGTCCAGGCGCAATTTCTCTATTAGTGCGTTACCCCACCCGCCTTGATAACAACTGCGTACTCGGCCCAGGATCAATTTCCGTATTTCTGGACAGGAAAGAGAGATTCCTCAGGCATGCGTCTTTGGCTGACGTCAACGCTACGTCAGCATGACGCGGGCGAGCTGGAGATCGGGACCGAGGTGACAGCCTTCATGCAGATTCCGCCGCATTACGACACGCCGCTGACAATGCCTGGCTACTGCTTCCCGGCGTGCACACAGGATGTAGGTTTCTGACGCGAACTTCCGTGTATTGCTGCTTTTAATTTGGCTACCACCGATTTAAAATAAAACGTTTTAATTCATCCTGATCGATTTGTATCTGATGACGTTATGGCGATTATCGTTTATGTTATACGCTGATGCTGGTTGGCTCTATAGTGGCGTATCATTTACTTACAATGACATTTATTCTGCTTCTTCAGACTTTCCCACAAGATGGTATCAATGTGTTTGCAGTCTACCTGCATGCGCACTTAACAGCTAAAGCAATACGAGTTCTAATACTCCGCAAGGACGGCACAGTCGAACTGATGGCAGCAGACGAAAACTTCGACTTCAACTATCAATACAACAAATTCTTTAACAACGAAATCAAAATCATGCCGGTAGGTATTTACAGTGTGTGTGCGTCTACGTTCTAGCTGTCACTATAATTCGTTAGACGTGGTTATTATTTCCATGGAGTTTATCCTCAATTTATAGCTAATATCTACCCACTTGTTTACAGAATTGTTTGTCGTTTTACGATATCGACAAGATTATAATAGATCCACTAGATTAATGATACATTTTTTGTTTACTTCAATGATATTCTTTGCTTTCATGCGCCATTCGGTGCACTCGCCGTACGCGCATTATCCAGAGCTACGTTCATTAGATATCTGTATTTAAATCCAGGGAGATGGATTGATGGTGGAATGTGACTACGCGACGAAAGACAGGAAAGAATTTACTTTCGTGAGTATGGCAACTGCACATAGAATGACACGCGAAACATCATGAGAGTCATTGTCACTACTATATGATTCTTTATGGATTATGATGGTACTGATTATCATATGCTAATAATGTTTCGGCATGTAACATCCCTGTGCTTACTGATAAATACTAAATAATATAAGATGGTACAGCCACAGTCCAGGATTAGTGAGAGACACAGACATACGGCATAGTCAGACTGTCTCTGTATATTTCTATGGCCACGCTGTCAGTGGTTAAACGTAAAAGCATCGTGGCAAATATAAATCTTATTGTAGGGAGGGCTAGCTACGACGGATGAGATGTGTCTGGCAGAACTCTCGTACTACCCGAAGATACCACTGTCCTTATGTCAAAGCATCAGCGATCCCGACTGGTATCTAGAACAACTGGGTGCGGACGATTTTGGAGGCGAAAATGAAGAACAGAAATATCTCGATCCAATGTAAGCTTGGTGCATTCACAGAGAAGTATGACAAATGTAGATGCCATGCCGCATACCTGCCACGTACCTAGAGATTAGCTTAAAATCAAAAGTGATAGATGATATAGATATAATGTCTATATAATGTAAGCTAAGTACATTTATAGTTAAGTGTGAAAATTGTAGATGCTATAACGCATACCTGCCACGTACTTAGAGTAGCATAAAAATCAAAAGTGATATATGATATAGATATAATGTCAATATATTGAATGGGAAATCACAAATCGCGTATCATTGATCACTTAGGTCAAGGAAATTTATTGGCTATGACAGGCAGTCTATGAGAAATGTACCAGACATGAAACACCCTCTGAGATTTCACATAAGAGCCCCTAACAGTTGTAGATACACGCGGAGTGCGATTACATCTTTATGCGAATCAATTAATTGTGTATTACTTACAGAATAACTGGGCCCCAAGAAATTGCAAACAAACCAATGAAAGACCTCTTCAACGAATATTTTTCTGAGGATTACAAAAGTCAAGTCAAGAGGGACGCATACCAGAATTTCTTACGTTCTGCCAAAATCTACAATTCATGCCTGAAAAGCGATCAAACGTATTTGGTGAGTTCTTGTGAGGAAATGTGTCATTTCTATCTCTTCTGAATACTAAATCGAGTTCAAAGTCACTCAATCTAGTATTTTTTGTTTATTCTAGTAATCTACTAGTTATCTAACTCTTTTATTTTGATAAAACGAGAATAAATATTTTCTTCTACTCATATTGCATTTTAAATCTTGATTGAATTGAATTAAATTTAATTAATTGCGTTAATTGCATACTGTATATATATCACATATATATTTGCATATATGTCTTTATATATTTTCAGCGTCCCTGGCTCAAAATTTCTACGCCAACGTATCAGCAGCCATCCCAACCAAACCGTAATTGTAATGTCTAGGATTCTCACTATGGAGACATCCATAGAAAATGTTAAGGTATCGACTGTTGGACTGCCCTGACGAACAATAAACCTCATCATCTCATGAAGAATATTCTTAAGAGTCCAGGGGACAGCAACGAAGAAGAAGGAGAGAGTCTGACGAATGGTCCGCTCAATACTGCGGATATTGCAGTAGAAAAGAAGATAATTCAATTCAAGCATAGCAGAAACAAGCAAAAAATAAATTAAACAGGTAATTGAAAAATATATTGCGAAATCCGAGACGCATGACGTACATATGCTTAAATAATTTTCATTCCTGCAGATGGATCGATGAATTAAATTAAATTAACCTCTCTGTGTGTCTCATCTTTCCGCTAGCTGTTATTTGGAACTGACCGGCAGTATATAAATAGGTCGGAGTGAGCAACCCATGTATATACAAACCTTTACATGGGGTTGTTCAACTATTACAGGTCTGGTATAGGCATGCTTAGGCCCACTCGAAAATCCCTCGATAAACCAGTTTGGTGACGGGGTGGAATATGGTTTATTCTTTCAATTTTGAAGTACAAAAATCATCCACGAAAATAACATTCCTGACTTCCATGGTAGCTAGTGGAGCGATATAGGCCTAGTATATAATATGCGGTTGTGCATTAGTATTCATAAATATCTGATAAATTAATGAATGGTCAAAATTCTCATCTAATATTTATGAATGCTCAAATATATTTTTACGGGAGCTTAGACTGAATCAGTTAACAATAAACGTTGCAATTCTGGTTTAGAATGATCTCTTGTTGTATTTTTATGTTGGCTTGGTATACATGATCGTTTTTTATTAGACGAAGAATGTTCGTTTAGGTGAGCATATTCGAAAATATGGTCAAAGCCTTCAGGTGTATAATGTTGCTACACATTGATACACGTCTATTAATTTAAGCCTGTACATTGCACATTTTTCAGGATTGTGTTCGGCTGCGAAGTGCATGGTTGTGACTGGGGGAGTAATTTGAGAGAAGGTGTGCGAGCCACAATCAAAAATGTGCTAGCCGAACGTAGTAACTCTTTGTTACAGGCGTACAATCCCGTCTCACAACAAAGGTAGTATCGATGGTACCGCGCTAGGGCGGCTATACCCAATTCAGTAAATTTGAAAATAAATTCAAATTCTTTCCGTAGGTTGGTTGGTAATCATTTTTGTTGACAGAAAAATGGGCGTGACAAATGAGTTTCTTCAGCTCTAAACCATCCCGAGCGAAGACCGGATAGTCGGATCTGTAGATCAGGGATGAGGTAGGAGATCAACAGTCATACACGCGCGTGCACCCAGTACATCACGCGCACCCAGTGTGCTCATATACACCCATACACGCACACCAGGGTGCTCGCAACACGCACACACACACACACACACTCACACACGCACGCACGCACGCACGCACGCACGTTAACGATTAGCACGTCACGCCAACATACACGGCACACACGCACACTACGCACGCACTGCGCCACCGCACTGCTCACACACACATCACACGCACACGCACACGCACACGCACACGCCACCACGCACACGCCACACACACACACACACACACACACACACACACAATCACATACACACACATCCATATGCATACGCACGTACGCACGCACGCACGCGCGCACACAGCCAAACTTGAGATACACGAAGCAACTATTAACCCTGCATCGCATTCTAAGTGGCATGCTCTGGCTGCTATGATACGTGTTGGTGCGTAGCCTGCGTATATTAGACAGCACAGAGATTGCCATTTATTTCATTTAAAGAACTGGAAAGGCCAGGCTCAAACGGCGAACTTTGCTAAAGGTTAGAAACATATCGGGATTGTCTTAAAATATTTTAAAGCACTCTATATTACTCTATTACTCTATTAGAAATACAATATTCGATATATTGCAAAACGGATGTCACAAGCGAGCAAGTCTTTCCACACGGATTATCACGCCGTTTCTTCTGCGGGCGATAGCTTCCCGTGCTTTCTGCTGCATAAACTGCTATACTGGCAGCAATATTTATATGATGCTTCAACGAAACCCAGATAAGCTCGGGCGTCCGATTTCGTTGACACGCAGTTTCATCGTCACGCAGTTGACATAATGATTATGTCAACTGTGTGACGATGAAACTCATGATCACGATGAGTATAATCATCAATGATTATGATAATCATTGCCATCCTTTACGGTCGACAATTACCAGCTAGCAGTCATGCCAGTGATCCTAAGGCAGGATCCACATTACAGCTTTAATGCCCTTTAATTTCCATTATTTACATGAATTTGATTGGAAACATTCTGAACGAAATTTTTTAATATGTATACTTGAGCATTTGCTGAGCGCTCATGCACGATCCAGTTTCCCCCTCCAATATACTAGAGGTGATATTCACCCAGGCGACAGAATCATTTCTTTAATAAAAAGCGGCTCACACTAAGCACCGGGACGATGGGAATTAATGGTTTTGTTCGCCTCTCTTTAACATAAAACATAACACTTCACGTAGCGTGTCCAGGTCTAGGTAAGACTGCTCGTTCGAAACATGTTCGAAACGACGCGAAGGAGGAATTTCGCATGCACGAATAGGTGTTTTTAAGGTATAGTGGTTCAAAGGGAGAAAATCATTGTTATAAATCTTATAGGATACGAGGATACGAGAGCCTACCGCGTCCTTCACATGTTTGTGTACAATGACGGTAACCCATTGTAAACCTGGTGTGGATTTGATAGCTCTGCTCACAATACAAACACATGGTAGATCCATCCTTTCACCCTGACCCACATAGAAACAAGTTCTGCTCATCCGCTGACTATAAGCTCCATGATACCAGGAGAACGCTAGTCACCGCTGACGCGCGCTCAGGACCGCACATCAGTGTTTCTTGACACGTTCAGTTACGATATGAAGCTGGTGATCGTCTGCACGGTTGTCGTCGGTGTGCTGCTGCTGGATGCCAGCTCGGCGCTGCAGACGTCTGAGAACTTCCCGCAGTCAGCGCTGCTAGACCCAGAGGGAAGGGTGACCTTATACTGGAAGTAATTATACCCATTACTTGCTACATATGTGAGTGTGTGCAGGCGTCCGCGCGCGCGTGCGTGCGTGCGTGCGTGTTCGTGTGCGTGTGCGTGCGCGTGTGTGCACGTGTTCGCTAATTTCGAAATACTGGTAACCAGAATTGTATCAATAAAAGATTATTATTGATAAATAGGACGTGTAAAATGTACGGGCTTAGTTACGGATCAATCTTTTAAAATTGCCACAAGAATTTTACTGAATGAATCTGTAGAAAGAACATCTAATACACGCGCAGGTTCGACAGCACACACATAGTCTTTGAAATTCACGCGGAAACTACGGGATGGGTTGGTTTCGGCATCTCTCCTACAGGCGGGATGAAAGGTAGTGACATCGCGACCGGCTGGGTAAAGAATGGCAACGTCTACCTTCAGGTAAATGCGAAAGATAATTGCGCGTGCGTGTGAGCGCCCGTGTTAACGTGCCCGTGTCTCTTTCTGTGGGCATAATAAGATTCATTCAGGTAAATGAAGTGGAACAGTGAGTACGTAAGTGCCAACACATGGTCTGTGTAAGTTTTAATATCAGCAGCCGCTTGGTGTACGTGCGAATATTATATTATTGCACTGCGCGAGCCACCGGCTTCTTGAATAGCTTATCTCTGGGCTTACTCGATTTTACAGTTCGATACTCACAGACCAGCATGCACCGACTTGGTTAATTTCGATGGAAATGGGTTTGCTACCCCTCGCTATGGCTATTGTTATCATGACGACCACTTTCGAGTTGTTATGGGTTAGCAATTCAGAACGAAAAATAATTTGAGTAGTCAGCAAACGCTCACATGGATAAGACTAGACCAGTCTTGTCTGGTTTGTCCCCGTGTGCCATTGCAGAAGATTCTCAGTAATTAGCCAACAAACTCGGAGCGGGCGTTTAAACCTTTACAGCAAGAACATTTTTCATTGACACGTCTTGCACACATTTGTTCGATTTCAATCCTAATGCTTTAGCCTGGTTATAGCGAATATAACCGTACTAGCAGGACACCCGGCGTTGCCGGGAAATAAAGCGCTCAGTTGGTGACCACTTGGTTGAAAGAGAAATACCCAAAAAATATCTATCTATGTATCTATGTATATATGTATATATATGTATCTATGTATCTATGTATCTATGTATATCTATGTATCTATGTATCTATCTATCTATCTATCTATCTTTCTATCGATCAATCAATCGATCGATTGATCAATCGATCAATCTATCTAGTTATGTACTAGTAAGTCTGGAACGTGGATTAGCAATCCCTCTGCGCGAAAAATTACACCAGGGCAAGTAGTGCATCTATATATTTTAATGACTGTAACAATTGCATAGTGCTGCCAAAATTCTTTCATAAAAAATGATGGTAGATGGCGCTGATGGTGGTAAGAAGACCCAGTTTTTTTGGTCCACAAACTGTTTGTGGTGGTTAAGGAATTTTTTGGTCCACAAACTGTTTGTGGTGACTAAGAAATTTTTGGGTCCACGAACTGTTTGTGGTGGCTAAGAAATTTTTGGGTCCACAAACTGTTTGTGGTGGCTAAGAAATTTTTTGATCTGCAAACTGTTTGTGGTGGCTAAATATTCTTTGTTCCAAAAACTGTTTGTGGTGTCTAAGAATTTCTTGGTCCACAAACTGTTTGTGGTGGCTAAGAATTTTTTGGGTCCACAAACTGTTTGTGGTTGCTAAGAATTTATTTGGTCCACAAACAAAAGATTCCCCCAGGTGGGACTCGAACCCAAAACGCCCGGTTTAGGAGACCGATGGCTCATCCATTTGACCACTGGGGCATTATGCGTAGAAAGCATCATTCAGTCATCCGAGATGTTAAGCTGTAGGCACCGCCATCTATTGACGAATGGCAAATTCGTAATTTTTTTTCAATGTTTAACTTTTTAACTTTTAAAAATTTTTGTTTTAGCCAGAACCAACCTCCGAGACGTGCTGATTCTGAAAATATCTTCAGTTTTCCTCTAGGCTGCGTAGTTTTCTAGTTATAAGAGTACACACAAACTCAACAACTTTATATATATAGAAACCAGATGAGAAGTTCCTACTCGCCCGTACTTTAAAAAATTGTAGGATCGCAAGGCGCGTGATTATATACAACCATCAATAGACGCGAGTCAGGATTGGACATTGATATCTGGACAGGAAGTGAACGGTGTCACTATGCTGAAAGTCCGACGCGCCCTTGACACATGCGACGATGACGACGACAGCATCATTACGGTAGTCGGTTTACTAAATTAGACTGGTGCAATATACTTCATACAAGCACACTGATTACTAGTTAATGTCATGATAGATTTTAGTTGGAAGATGACAACTTGAGGAAAACCCAACTACCCACTTGTGCTAAGTGTCGCCTTCATTGATTGTTTAGCAAAACAAAATTTGCGTTGAAGTTAACTGAGACGTAAAGGCATTGTTTGGCCTCCCTGCCCCTTTGTTACTTGAGCTGCTACCTCCATGACCGTAGTCGCTGTCTTAATAAATAAATAACTTATGCCATGGCATCAAGTGTTAAATACATTTTCATACCAATCAGCGAAAGTACAGTTTCTATGCATTCTATTAATATCATTCAAGTTATGCACATCGTCTGCTGACAGGACGGCACCATACGCGTGATCTGGGCGCTGAACCAAAATGACCCGTCAGCACCAGAGGACCTCGCGTATCACGGAGCCACCAACAGGGGGCGCCGGAGTCTCCACTTGCTGTCTTACTACGTTGAATCGACGATTCCTCCAGATGCAAGCTCCTTTGACGTGACGATGGACAATGTAAGCATTGTCCGTGTTACACAGAGTTAGGCCCTACTTGATAACCGCTATACGAGTTCAATATAAAGTTGCCTGTAACCAGACCCTGCATGTACACCCTAGAATTAAATCTTAGAAGGCTTAGAAATTAAGTTCTAGTGGCATTATTGGTATCTTCTGCTAACAAAGAAGAAATGTCAACAACTGATGTTGAAAAACCATGGTATATGTCACAATGTTGCTAGCATCCAACTCTAGCGCCCTGCACCGTAGGCCTGTGATACAGTGACGGAGAAATATAACCAAACTCAATTCACAATAGTCTCTACATTAGAAAATTGAGAACATAATATTATATGCGTGCTACAACAGCGCCATGATTTCTAACATTGGTGTTACATATGTAGCCAGGATTTTTTAACAGGGGAGGGCCAAAAACAGCGAACTGCGCAAAACAGTGGATGACTTAATATTTTAATGGTTCCTCCGCTTCCCTCTCCACACCCTATTCTCCCCCGCCTCTCAGCTCTGCAATCTTTGTTTTGGGCGCCATGTAAAAAGGCGACATTTGTGTTCGTTGTTTCCTGCTTCCTTAATTGATATGTAACTGTTCAGTGGCGGATCCAGGATTACGAGGAGGGGGTGAAACACTGGGGGTATGAGAGTCCTACCCCAGAAATTTTTTTAAATGTAGATCGCAGGAGATGGTACTTGAGGCACTTTTGAGTACATGTACAGCCTTCATTCTGACTACGACGATTCTCTTTTTAGTAGAACAATTCTTTTTTTCCTTTTTTTTAACTTTCGGATCAACAAGGGGGCCATGGCCCCCTTTGGCCCCCCTAACTACGCCACTGATTTCTAATGATTTGGGTGAGCCTTGGTGTATAGCCTCTACCAAAGGTATGATTTCTACAGGTGCGGATTAGGAATTCAGATACAACCTACAGGTGCAAGTATATAAAAACACCATCCCTCAGCGGAAAGCATCATATGATAAGGGTAAGATTATTTGCTCGTAGTGTGAAGTTTTCCACTTTTTTGGCTCTTGCTGCGCACGCACGCACGCACGCACGCACGCACGCACGCACGCACGCACACACACACACACACACACACACACATCACAGAAGTAGAAGAGGAGAGCAGAAGAAGAGAGAGAGAGAGAGAGAGAGAGAGAGAGAGGAGAGGAGAGAGAGAGAGAGACAGAGGAGGAGAGAGAGAGAGAGAGAGAGAGCGAAAAGGAGCAAGAGCGAGGGGGATAGATAAAGCAATATAACAAATATATATTATAAATTTTATCAATTTCTCGATATTATACAAATTTAAAACCACCACATGCGTAGATGGAGGCTATAATCACACCAGGTAACGAGGGAATTGTTCACCACATGCTTCTCTACGAATGTCCGCGATTCACGAATCGCGAAGCTAACGAAGTGGACGACATTACGTTCAACTGCGGAGAGAACTCAGCAGAGAAGATGCCCTGCACTCAGATCGTTGTCGGCTGGGCTATAGGTGGCGAGGTACTGATCTCATGACTTTATACATAATCAGTTCGTTTCATCGTTCAAAAAAGATCCATACGCACAGAAACGAAACGAAACCGCTACGGTACATTCTTGTAGATTGCATAAGCCCATCTAAGGGACCCCGACCCAGTGCAATTGCCAATTGTTTATTTTATATGAATAGGGTTTCTTTTATACGTACTAATATTAAGACCAAAAGATCAGGACGAGTGAGAATATATAGAGAACTCGCTAAATCAAACGTATGCCTTAATGAAAAATACGAAAAATATTATCGTCATGCGAACACCGACTGCATTAACGCCCACATTGCACGTTCTATCTTTGCACTAGGTGTACGATTTTCCTAGTAATGTTGGCTACCCGATCGGCGAACCTAACGGTGCAAACGTATATATTTTGGAAGTTCATTACGACAACCCAACCCTGCTAAGAGGTACGCCACATGTAATATTCCTTGATCCATTTACGGCTGCCTTAGTGGTCGCCATATAGGAGCTACAGTTCTTTAATACTGTTAATTTTATGTCCGTTTACATCGTTTTCTAAATATTTAAATAACTAGTCAAATAACCAACTGCCCTTTCCTCATTCGTTATCATAACGATTCTCACCACTACCACCCATTTAGTCCAGGCGCAATTTCTCTATTAGAGCGTTACCCTACCCGCCTTGATAACAACTGCGTACTCGGCCCAGGATCAATTTCCGTATTTCTGGACAGGAAAGAGAGATTCCTCAGGCATGCGTCTATGGCTGACGTCAACGCTGCGTCAGCATGACGCGGGCGAGCTGGAGATCGGGAACGAGGTGACAGCCTTCATGCAGATTCCGCCGCATTACGACACGCCCCTGACAATGCCTGGCTACTGCTTCCCGGCGTGCACAGAGGATGTAGGTTTCTGACGCGAACTTCCGTGTATTGCTGCTTTTAATTTGGCTACCACCGATTTAAAATAAAACGTTTTAATTCATCCTGATCGATTTGTGTCTGATGACGTTATGGCGATTATCGTTTATGTTATACGCTGATGCTGGTTGGCTCTATAGTGGCGTTACATTTACTTATAATGATGATATTATTCCATTTCTACAGGCTTTCCCACAAGATGGTATCAACGTGTTTGCAGTCTACCTGCATGCGCACTTAACAGCTAAAGCAATACGAGTTCTAATACTCCGCAAGGACGGCACAGTCGAACTGATGGCAGCAGACGAAAACTTCGACTTCAACTATCAATACAACAAATTCTTTGACAACGAAGTCAAAATCATGCCGGTAGGTATTTACAGTGTGTGTGCGTCTACGTTCTAACTGTCATTCCTATCTTATGTGGGTGAATATTGCGCTCATTACTCCCTCAATTTACATTCAATATTGAGTATATTTGTGTATACACACAATCATTTACATAATTATACGTTTTACCTAATGGTGATATCACGAGTGAATAAAATTGTTTTTTTTTTCACTCCTGGTGATGGCGATATCATTTACGTCTTTGCATTCATACGCTGTTCGGTGTCCTCGCAGTATCTCACACATTACCCAAGGCTACTTGCAAAAGATACTGGTATTTAATTTCAGGGCGACGGCTTGATGGTGGAATGTGACTATGAGACGAAAGACAGACAAGATTTCACGTTCGTGAGTACTACATAGCGAGACAAACGACGTACATACATACAGAATTATTTTCAATGCTGAGGATGATGCAGAATATAACATCGCGTTTTTACTGCAAAGGCAATGAAGTCCTACACTATGTTTGTCTAATGTTCCTAATGATCAACCGGTCGCTGTGTCGCTTGGGCACACGTGGCCAGGGGTGGCACTAGAGAATATAATTCGATCCCCGACGGAGGAAGGACAACGAGTGAGGGCAGCTGCGGATATAGGCCCTATATGTAAAACTGAGAGTCAAAATTTCTTTCCAAATTTTAAGGTTTAAAATAGTACCACCTATTATGCGGACGGTGGTTATATCACTGTCGAATAAACTATTTTTGTAGGGAGGTCTAGCTACGACAGACGAAATGTGTTTGGTGGAACTGTCGTACTACCCAAAGATACCGCTGGCTTTATGCCTGAGCTCCAGTGATCCAGACTGGTATCTGGAACAGCTCGGTGCGAACAATTTTGGTGGTGCCAACGAAGAACGAAAATATCTCAATCCAATGTAAGTAGGATACATTCATAGCGTCGTATTAGACGGTAGCGTTGATGCCACACGCTGAGCTAGGGCAATACTGTAAGCAAAACATGAACACTAGTATCAAATAATTGACGAATTAATACACATTGGCGAATAGAGTGAATTGGGAAATACGTAGAATGTTACGCGCATCATATGTATCTAATATCATGTATTCAACGACAATAGATTAGCTATAAGTCATTATGATAAGTAATCTTAAACTTATGGAGATACAAGGAACATGGTAGTACCTTTGTAACGTCGATTAATTTATATTGGCTTTGCAGAATAACTGGACCTCGAGCTCTAGCTAACCAGCCAATGAAGAGCCTATTCAATGAATATTACTCTGAGGAATACAAGAAAAAAGGGAAGAGGGACGAATACCAAACCTTCCTGCGTTCTGCCAAGATGTACAATGCATGTCTAAAGAGTGATTATTCGGAATATTCGGTGAGTGCATATGCGGCCATTTCTTTCATCATCCAATAGACCTAAAATCGTGAAATCCGCACAGGGCATCTAGATGGAAAGCTCCCGTGTCCACAGCGCACCATACACAATAGTCAGTGCAGCACAGGGAACTTCGGGCCAATTTATATATTATGTTTTTTGTCTGTCTGTCTCTCTGCCTGCCTGCCTGTCTGTCTGTCCGCTTTTTCTCATACGTTTCACGCTCAAACAGAGGTGAGTAGACACATGAAACCTTTATTTCATCACTTAAAGAATTCCAACGAAAGTGGGCTAGAATTTTTAAGCCGCCTCGTACCTTCAATTTGATAACCGCAAACCGCAGTGTAACATAGTGAAATGCAGCTTTGCACGCTGCTGCTGCTACCGATCTAACCATAATTTTCGGTTTCCTTCTGTCACTATCGCTTTGCTTCCATATAGAGAGGCACGTTCTCCGCACTGGTATGGAGATAACGCCGTACAAACGCAATTCACATTGCCTAAATAAAGCATGCAGAAAATAAAATGAACTCGTCCAACTACACGCGTGCACACACACGCGAGCGCACACACACGCGTGCACCCACACAAGATCGCACACAACCATAAACACACACACACACATACACACAAACACACACACACACGCACGCACGCACGCACACACACACACACACACACACACACACACACACACACACACACACACACACACACAGGCACACATGTGCGCGCGCGCACACACACACCGTGACAGACGCACGCACGCACACACAAAAGGGGGAGGAGTGAGTGAGAGGGAGAAAGTGTATGCGTGTGAGAGAGAGACCGCGCAATACCTACTAGTCTTACTAGAAAATAAGTAACCCTCCCCCCCCCCCCGGGAAACGCTGACTACTTTCATATATATATATATATACTAGCGGGATACCCGGCGTTGCCCGGGGAAATCAGTGGCGTTACTCATATCAGTTGGTGACCGCTTGGCTGAAAGGAAAATACCCCAAAAAATCTAACTATCTATCTATCCATGCATCCATCCATGCATCCATCCATCCATCCCATTCCATGCCATCCCATCCCATCGCACTGCATCGCATCCCATATCCCATCCCATCCCATCGCATCCCATGCCATCCCATGACATGCCATGCCATCCCATCCCACCCCATCCCATCCCATCGCATGCCATGCCATGCCATGCCATGCCATGCCATGCCATCCCATCCCAAACAGTAAAAAATAATAAGAATCAAAATAAAAAACATTAAAAATAAAAAATAAAAAGTAAAAAATAAAAAATAATACTAACTAACAGGAGCGTATAATGACAAATATATATGTCAAATGACAAATATATTTGTCATTATACGCTCCTGATACTAAAGAGGTAGGTAAAGGGGAAAAAAGGAAAAAAGGGGAAAATAAGTTCCCCAGCTGGGACTCGAACCCAGAATCCCGGTGTAGGAGACGGATGTTCTAGCGATTAGGCCACTGCGCCGTTCAGGGTATACAGAATGGATTCACACGTACGTGATGTTAATCTGTACGCACCGCCATCTATTGATGAATAGAATTTTTATCAATTTTTAACTTTTTTAAATTTTTGTTTCAGCCAGAACCACTTCCCAGACATGCTGATTCTGAAAATATTTTTGGTTTTCCTCTAGGTTGCGGAGTTCTCTAGTTATCCGAGTTCGGACTAATTCGGCTGAACAACTTTATATATATAGATAAACATATATATATATTCATTATTTGTTGTTTACACGTATGAACAGACTGATATTGATATATTATGCACATTTTATAACACAATTACGATTGATAGATCATTAGCGATACATCTATGTGTATTTGTACACAGCAAACCTGGATCAAGATTACTACGCCTACCTATCAGCTGCCGTCACAGCCAGGTCGAAACTGCATGTAATGGCAGATCACGCTCTTCTCGTAACTAGGAGGCAGGTCTAAGGAGTGCTGAAAAGTCAACACAGGCCTCGACTGATGGACGGCGCCAAGAAATCTCGAGACTTATGAAGTACATATAACCAGAATAACCTGATATAACTAAACCTTTTTCAATTTACTGTAATGATATCGATATGAAAAATGAACCTATCTGTAATGGTTTTTGTGTTCCTAATTAATTTCCATTATATTTGGGTGTGGTTTTTTATTATTTAAAAAAAATATATATTTTAGAATAATACTGTACAAACATACTAAAAAATTAACAATTTGCGTGATATCAATGTATTATTAGCTCTTGATGATATGTTGGTTTAGGCATATGATATAAATTAGGATTTAGCTTATATGGCCGAATTTCAAATATGTAGTAACAAGTGCCGCAGAGCGACAGCGCTCACCTGACGGCAGGTGTTCTGATGCTAAACTCACTGGCAAACGAATCAAGAGCAGCCTCCCATCGCTGCGTTCGCTCTCCCTCGTTGTCCCTCTTATTCTTTCTCTTTCGCTCTCTCTCTCCCTCTCTCTCTCGCTCGATCACACACTCTCTCTCTCTCTCTCTC